GCTGTCTTCCTTCCTACATACTCCAAATCTCCCAGACCCCGGGATGGTCCCAAAGGCCAAGGCCAGGTGTCAGCCTTACAGCCTGAAGGGTTCACCTGTACAAGAGACCGGGGTGCTGAGGGTCCTGGAGCCTGTGCAGCTGCCTCAGGCCCATTCTCTGCGGGGGCCTGCGGAGGTCCCATGACCCGCCTGGCCTCTGGCTTAGGAGTCACCTCTGCAGGCCTAGGGGTGTTCACATCCCCCTCAGGACTTTTTGCTGGGGGACCGGGCATGGGGGGCCCTCACTGCCCCCAGGCCCAAATACACCAGGAGCCACCATAGGCTGCTCTCTATCCACCCCACATCCTGTTCTCCTGGGGCCCCCCCGAGAGGGTGGGGCGGTGGCAGAGGGAAGAGGGAGGTCCGCCTGTCCTGCCTAGGGATGGTGACCGCTTCTCCAGGGGCCAGCTTCCTGTCCCCGGACATTCTGGGGAAACTGGCCTCTGAGAAACTCCAGTGGCTGCCAGCCTGTTCCCCTCCCTTCTGCCCCCCCCCCCCCCCCCACTCCCCCCCCCCCCCGTGCTTGCAGCCCGAGGCTTGGCCCATGGGCCCCTCTCCTCTGCTCCCTGGGCCATCTGGGGACACCCACCAATGGCCCCCTGCCCCCTCTCTCCCTGTTCCCTAGGCAGTCTCATCTAGATGCTCATAATCCTGACACCCTTCTCCCATCTTACCACTCCCAGCAGGACTCGCGGGAGGCAGCCTTAAGTGGATGCTCTTGATGAGGACAAAGTACAAGCGGACAACCTGCAAACCCCGTCCCCCACTCCCAGGTGGGACACTTGTGACATTCCTCAGGCACTCGGGGGCTGCCCTAAAGCTAAGGGAAGGAAAAACCAATGGTTGACTTACAGAGATTACAGTCCAGCCAAGACACGAGTCTCCCTCAGTTTACAAATGTCTCAGTGATTTACAAGAAAAAAGCATTCTTTTTTTTTTAAGGTTTTATTTATTTATTTATTTGACAGACAAAGACAGCAAGAGAGGGAACACAAGCAGGGGGGAGTAGGAGAGAGAGAAGCAGGCTTCCCACGGAGCAAGGAGCCCAATGTGGGGCTCGATCCCAGGACCCTGGGATCATGACCTGAGCCGAAGGCAGACGCTTGACGACTGAGCCACCCAGGCGCCCCAAGAAAAAAGCGTTCCTGGGGGCGCCTGGGTGGCTCAGTCGTCAAGCGGCTGCCTTCGGCTCAGGTCATGATCCTGGAGTCCCGGGATCGAGTCCCACATCGGGCTCCCTGCTCAGCAGGGAGTCTGCTTCTCCCTCTGACCCTCTTCCCTCTCGTGCTCTCTATCTCTCATTCTCTCTCTAATAAATAAATAAAATCTTTAAAAAAAAAGAAAAAAGCGTTATCAGTAACCTGATTTACAGAAGGAAACTCTCAACGGTCCTGATATTAATACGCCTTGCTAGAGGGAAAAACCACCTTACCTTGACAATGGCCAGGCCTCTAGTATCTTATAGGTCCTCTTTAGCAGAGAAGTTCTTTTGAAAACCTCCCTTTTTCTTACATCCCCCAGCTCCCAAGTATGTGATCAGCCACCCATCACAACCCCGGGGCAGCAGCTCTTTCTGCCCACAGGTCTGTCCCCGTGCTTTAATAAACCACCATTTTGCACCAAAGACATCTGAAGAATTCTTTCTTGGCTGTTGGCTCCGGGCCTCACCCCATCAACCTCACCTATATTCCAAAGCTACATCAGTCTGCTAGCAGGTGACGGTAGGGCAGGGTGGGGTGGGGGGCTGGGTGCAGAAAGGAGCAGCTCAGGCCCTCAACCTGCTGACATTCCCTGCCCAACCCCCCCCCAACCAGCCAATTCCAAGGCCCACATTGCAAGGCCAGGATGCCCCAGCTGACCCTAGTCCTCACCCTTGTGCCCCCTCACCCCTTCCCTATTCAACCTAGGCCTCCCTTGGCTGAGCACCCCTCTCCAGACTCCACCTCCCTCCCTGCAGAGACCCTGTTCATCCCCTGTGCGAAGCCGCTGTCCCAACCTGACAACAGACCCCCTGTGGGACCCTGCATCTTGATGGAGCGGCTCTCCTGCCCTGGTCCTCTGCCAGGCCACCTGGCCTCACCTTGAGAAGGGGGCCACGTTCTCTCCCTACAGGCTCCCTCAGACTCTGGCTGGGGCAGACCTGGAAATGGACTTGAGAGTGGCATTTCCTGGCTCCTCCCTCCTGTAGCTTCTTAGAAAAGCAGGGGTTTTGCTGAACCCACGTGACTGTTTGAGGTCCAGACAGTCCTGGTTTCATTTCATTTCATTTCTCTTTCACGTGCTCTGAAATAAAAGCACTTGGAGGGGTGCCCGGGTGGCTCAGTCATTAAGTGTCTGCCTTCCGCTCAGGTCATGATCCCAGGGTCCTGGAATCGAGCCCCGCATCCGGCTCCCTGCTTGGCCAGGAGCCTGCTTCTCCCTCTCCCGGCTTGCGTTCCCTCTCTAGTTGTCTCTCTCTGTGTGCCAAATAAATAAATAAAATCTTTTTTTTTTAAAGATTTTATTTATTTATTTGAGAGAGAGAGAAAATGAGAGATAGAGAGCACGAGAGGGAAGTGGGTCAGAGGGAGAACATGTGGGACTCGATCCCGGGACTCCAGGGTCATGACCTGAGCCGAAGGCAGTCGCTTAACCAACTGAGCCACCCAGGCGCCCTAAATAAATAAAATCTTTAAAAAATAATAAATAGGGGGGCGCCTGGGTGGCTCTGTCGTTAAGCATCTGCCTTCGGCTCAGGTCATGATCCCAGGGTCCTGGGATCGAGCCCCGCATCGGGCTCCCTGCTCCGCGGGAAGCCTGCTTCTCCCTCTCCCACTCCCCCTGCTTGTGTTCCCTCTCTCGCTGTGTCTCTGTCAAATAAATAAACTCTTAAAAGATAATAATAATAAATAGTCTTAAGTATGAAAAAATTAAAAAAAAAAAAGGCAGCTGGAATGTTCCTAGTGTGGGAGACAACTAAAAACTCCATGTGCGAGTGAGGGAGAGAGCGAGAGAGCTACCTTCTGGGCAGGCTAACCAACATGGCTGCGAGAGAAGGAGCCCAGGTGAAGCCCCTGACAGCAGGGCTGGCTGGTGCTGGAGATGGCGTTAATACTGGCCATCTGAAGAGTTCTCTCAGCTCATTGTGTAAACCTGGCTTCAGGTCAGGCCCCTGTGTCCAATCCCTGTCCCACAGTCTGCATCCCCTGCCCAGTACTCATTATAATCCCTGGAGCCAGTGTTTTTAGCTGAAGACCCTTCCCCTGGGAGCTTGCAGCCTGGGGCCTTCAGTCCTGGGAGACTTCCTGGAGGAGGTGACTCTGGGCTTGGGAGGGCAGTGATTGAATTGCCCTTTAGCAATGACCATCAGGAAATTTTAAGGAAGAAAACGGTTTATAACTTACTAGACCTGGAGGTTCCACAGTGCACCTGGAGCCACACAGTCAGGTAGCTGGGGAGAGGGAGGGATGGGGAGAGGGGGAGAGCCGGTGTGGGGGAGAGAGATAGAGAGAGAGAGGGCACTCATAGGCAGGCCGGGGCTTCTGCTTTTATTGGGATCAGGAGTCCGAGGATTTTGCAGACTCACTCTATTGCTGAATTTAAAACAAGAGCAGGAATTTAAAGCTGGGTAGGGGGTGGACAGGCGGCCCACATGGTCGGTTATTGAAGCCAGACTCTCTGAAACAGCAGCCCAAGTGTGGGGCCTGAACTGGCATTTTCTAGCGTGGCCAGCAACACGTTTATTTGAGATGGCCTTTGAAGTCGACGCCTCTTGGAAAGGGATGCCTCAGTAATCAAAGTTTAAGTTGGGCACTTGGATCACAACAGAGGGAAAAGCCCGTCAGGGTTTACACTCCTATCCACACTCCGATCTGCTCCAAGTCCACCAGGACGCTATGGGGGTAGCTAACACGCTGCAGGCAGGGTTGGGCACGTTGTAACACAGAAAGTGCACTACCACATTATGGGAGCAAATCGTATAAAAATTACACAGGCAGGAGTCTGGAATGTAGTCTGTAGCCATCGTCCCAAACTTGAAGTGGGGGGCCAGCTCAGGCGATCTGTGCAGGGATATGGGTAATACCACCAGATATTTTAACATCTTGGGCCATTTAGTGTGTGGGGTGACCCAGGCGGGGGGGGGGCCACTCAGGCGGTAAAGGATTCACCCGATGCAGAACGGAGATAGAAGTTGATAGAATAAACCACAGCGGAGCAGCGGAGGGCAGGACAGCAGAAGAAAGGCTGTCTGTGGTGGGGGCTGTAGATAAAGGGGAAGGTGAGGAGGTATGGGAACATATGGAATTTTCCTTTTGGGGGTACCTGTGTCTGGGAGTAAGCAGCCCATTGGTCAGCTAGGGCTTACGGGTATTTTGAAGGCTGCCTAATGGACCTGTTTGCAGTCAGTCAGGGAAGTGGGGGTCACTGTGGGCCTTATTCAGGACTCCATTGCTCAAGCTGGTTGCCTGAAAGCGGCCTCTACACCATGTGAACAGGTTTGAACCTGTCCTGAGCTGGTAAATTGTTCCATATCTCATCGAACCAGTCTGAGTCCTGAGAAAAGGTCAGTTCAATTAAAGGTTGTGTCTCATTTCAGGAGGTGGTGATGCAGGTGGACTCCCCAAGTTAAACCTACAGTAGTCCCCCCACCCACTTATCCACAGGGACACACTCCAAGGCCTCTAGTGGATGCCTGAAACTGTAGATAGTACCGAGCCCTGCATATACTATGCTTTTCCTATACGTATATACCTCGGACAAGATTTAATCTATAAATCAGGCAAAGAGATTAACAGGAAGTAATAATAAAATAGAACAATTATAGAACAGTTAGAGCCACAGTACTAATATACTGTATTATAATATATAAATTATACATAACATAATAACAATAAACCATGATAGAAGTTATGTGAGGGACGCCTGGGTGGCTCAGCAGTTAAGTGGCTGCCTTTGGTTCAGGTTGTGATCCCTGGGATCCTGAATCCGGCCCCCTGCTCATGGGGAAGTCTGCTTCTCCCTCTCCCTCTGCCCCTCCCCCACTGATGCTTGTGCTCACTCTCTCTCAAATAAATAAATAAAATATTTTTTAAAAAAGAGTTATGTGAATGTGGCCTCTCTCTTAGAATACCTCATTGTACTATACTCAGCCTACTTCTTGCGATGATGTGACACAGTACCACAAAGATGAATGTCTGGTGCAGACTGAGCTCTGAGGGCAGCCAGTGGAGGAGACTTCTAGGTCTTCACAACTCGGGCTCGAAATGTCTTCACAAGGAGGGAGGGCAGGCAGCGGCAATCTGGCAGATTTTCCTGGTTTGCAGTTTGAATGTCTCTGGTGATCCTTCTGAGGGGCCCACAGGCAACAGGCGTGAACACTGTCCATACGTGAGCTGTTGTGGTTTCTCTGAAGTCTGGATCAAGCTGTCCCCCATTAGCTTGCGTGGCTGGGGAAAAGGACAGTTTTAGTTCTCAAGGATTCCAAGTCAGAGGGCGGGAGAAAAACTGGAAATGCTAAAAATTTGGAGGGTTGCAGCCAAATATTGGAGGACAGTGGAAGAATTGAGGATCTAGTCTAGGTGAAGACAAACCCCCAAAGATCATTACCAGCATTAGAAGAGATCCGTAAAGGCGTATTAACTGAAACATGACTGTTCCCTCCACAATCACCCCGATTTTATCAAAGATAACCATAGCAAGACCGTTTTGTTTTCGAATTCAGTCTAGTTTCCATAAACTTGCCTTGATTATTTACCTACATGCAGCAAGAAGAGTGACTGACCACTGAGGCTCTTTTAAGTCGGGTTTGCTGGAACCTTTCATAAGGAATCTCACATTGAACTTGGAAAAGCCTTTCAGGCTAAGAAGCCAAGCCAAGAACTTCCTGTCAGACTTCACCTGGAATACCTTTAGATTTCGGTGAATTCCTCTCTTCTTGAGGTTCCTGGGTCTGTCAGGAGGCGACCTTCCTTACTCACATGATAAGGCTGCTGGGAACCCCATTAGCAAGGTTATCAGGCTGATTTTTTGGCTTTATTGGCTCTGTAAGGCCAACCTTACTTCCTTAAAGCTGTCTGGTCATATCTGAGTCTACTCACATACTCACATCTTTCTCAAATACGACATTCCAGTCAAAACTTTGGTAATATGACCAGTGTTTCCAATAGTGTCCTGTTACAAAGGGAACAGATTCTTATTGAACTTATACAAATGAATATGTTGCTATGAAAATATAAGAATACTTGGAGTTTCCAAATTCTGGGGGGATCAGGTAGGGAGAAAAAGTAATTGTTTCATCTTTGTTTACAAAGGTAGATTTTACAAATTGCTATAGGTCATAGCTGGTGTAAGAGAAAGTTTCCTTAAATCTGAAAAACAAAAGATTAAAGAACCAGCAATGTTTCAAACAAAAGCCATAAAAATTTATAATCATCCCTATCAGTTCTGTCATTCCCCTGAAATTAATTCTTGTTGATCTTGATCTTTTGTTGACAGTTTTATGAATCCAGGTTTTCTTTAGAGTTGTGTAAATTCTTTCGCAGTTGAGTGATGTGATCGGAATTATCAGAAACCCATATTCTAGAGTGTCTATCAGTCCTTTCCAGGAATTTTTCTGAAGATGAAACAGTTTTGCAAAAGCATCAGAGTCCTACAATAACTGTCTGTATATGACAAAAGACTTAAAAATGGCCACGGTTAAAGATCTGATGAGAGTTTGTTACAAGGCAATTGACAAGGAAATTTGACTATTTTGGTGACACATTTTAAGATGATAACTGGAATAATGACTGATAATATTATATATCAGACTTTTAGGAGTTTCATATAATTTCTGGAACACTTATATTAATAACATATCTATATTAGAATATTAATAAAGAGTGGTTCCTGGGTGGCTCAGTCGTTAAGTGTCTGCCTTCGGCTCAGGTCACGATCCCAGAGTCCCGGGATCAAGCCCTGCATTGGGCTCCCTGCTCCGCAGGAAGCCTGCTTCTCCCTCTCTCACTCTCCCTGCTTGTGTTCCCTCTCTCGCTGTGTCGCTCTCTGTCAAATAAATAAATAAAATCTAAAAAAAAAAAGAATATTAATAAAGAACTTACAGCACTATTTCTTATTTGAAATACTTCCCATGTAATGTCACATATCAAATAAGACTAAGTAGTTTAATGTCTCCCTTCTTACAAGGACAGAAAATAAATCTTTCGAGATGTTCCATAAGCATTCTTGAAAAATCACGGGGCGCCTGGGTGGCTCAGTTGTTAAGCGTCTGCCTTCGGCTCAGGTCATGATCCCAGGGTCCTGGGATCGAGCCCCGCATTGGGCTCCCTGCTCTGAGGGAGGCCTGCTTCTCCCTCTCCCACTCCCCCTGCTTGTGTTCCCTCTCTCGCTGTGTCTCTCTCTGTCAAATGGATGAAATCTTTAAAAAAAAAGAAAAAGAAAAATCCCCAAATTATTTCCAGGTCAAAAGACTTCATTTAGAATTTTATTTCGGGGGGTGCCTGGGTGCAGTTGGTTAAGCATCTGACTTGATCTCAGGTCAGGTCGTAGTCTCAGAGTCCTGAGACAGACCCCTGTGTTGGGCTCCACACTCAGCGTGGAGTCTGCTTAAGATTCTCTCTCTCTCTCCCTCTGCCTCTCCCACTTGTGCTCTCTTTCTCTCTCTAAAATAAGTAAAATCTTAAAAAAAAAAAGAAATAAAAAAAGAATCTGATTTTGGGAAGTTTGTCAAAAATATCAAAAGGTTTTGGGCACTTGACTAAATAGGATCACAAATAATTATGAAACAATACTTACCCTTTAACCAAAGTAACAAGATTTCAAAGGCAAATATAGGTGACATAGATCTGAGCAAAACCTAGGTCTTTTAATATGGAGAAGACCCAGTATACTCAAGTAATCAAAGACTTGATGATACAGATAACAGGAAGCACAGGAAATTATTTTGATAAAACACAGGATCTTGGTTTTCTAGGCAGATTACTTAAAAGGTAAAGAAAACCCTGATAATCTCTTTTCAGGAGCAGATCAATAGTTCAGGAAAATTTTGTCCTTTGAGCAGATGAAAGAATTAAGTTTTAGTTTAATTTTTTTATTTTACGATTTTATTTATTTATTTGTGAGAGAGTGCAAGAGAGGGATCATGAGCAGGGGAGAAGGGGGGAGTGGGAAGGGCAGAAGTAGCCACCCAGGTGCCCCTAAGTTTTAGTTTTAGATTAGTATACTATCACTACTAAAGCCTATTTTTATTTATTTTTTTATTTTTAAGATTTTATTTATTTATTTATTTGACAGAGAGAGAGAGAGACACACACAGCAAGAGAGGGAACACAAGCAGGGGGAGTGGGAGAGGGACAAGCAGGCTTCCCGCCAAGTGGGGAACCCGATGTGGGGCTTGATCTCAGGACCCTGGGATCATGATCTCAGCCGAAGGCAGTCGCTTAACCAACTGAGCCACCCAGGCGCCCTAAAGCCTATTTTTAAAGATTAAAAAAATTTTGGGGGTGCCTGGGTGGCTCAGTAGGTTAAGTGTCTGCCTTCGGCTCCAGTCATGGTCCCAGGGTCCTGGGATCGAACCCAGCATTGGGCTCTCTGCTCAACAGGGAGTCTGCTTCTCCCTCTCCCACTCCCTCTGCTTGAGTTCCCTCTCTCTCGCTGTGTCTCTCTCTGTTAAATAAATAAATAAAATCTTAAAAGAAAAAAAAATGGGGGGGTGCCTGGGTGGCTCAGTCAGTTAAGCGTATGCCTTCAGCTCAGGTCATGATCTCAGGGTCCTGGGATCGAACCCTGCACTGGGCTCTCTGTTCAGCGGGGAGTCTGCTTCTCCCACTCTCTGCTCATGCTCTCTCTCAAATAAATAAATAAAATCTTAAAAAATTTTTTTTTTTTTTTAAAGTAATCTCTACACCCAACCTGGAGATCAAGAGTGGTAGTCTCCGGGGACTTAGCCAGCCAGGCGCCCCAAGCCTATTTTTAAAACCCTTATAATAGCCATTCCATTTTTAGCCAACTTGACCATGCAAGATCCCCTGTCCCCCAATTTCTCTTTCTCTTCTCAACTTTCTATGTGCATAGTTTGTTCTTTATTTTCCTCTTTCTCATTCTGAAATCATCAGCTTTACTTTAGGACAGAATTACTGTGGGGACACCTGGCTGGCTCAGTCGGTGGAGCTTGTAACTCTTGATCTCGGGGTTGTGAGTTTGAGCCCCACGTTGGATGTAGAGATTACTTAAAAATAGGACAAAATTACTTTCTTTTTCCTTATTATTTCGAATAGTTTATTTTTTTTTAAAGATTTTATTTATTTATTTGACACAGAGACAGCCAGAGAGGGAACACAAGCAGTGGGAGTGGGAGAGGGAGAAGCAGGCCTCCTGCTGAGCAGGGAGCCCGATGTGGGGCTCGGTCCCAGGACCCTGGGATCATGACCTGAGCCGAAGGCAGACGCTTAATGACTGAGCCACCCGGGCGCCCCTCTAATAGTTTAAGTGACATATATTAATTAAATGACATATATTATTAACGACATACATTAATTAATTTCTAGTGCAAACTAAGAAGTATGCAATTTCTTGTGAAATGCTACACAGAATCTTTTAGATTATCAAACTTATGAATATATCTCTTAATTCCTAGGAACATAACATTTCCTCATAGTGCAATTTTTCCCATTTAAAATGTAGCAATGTCACCCTATAATTAAGGGGAATGCCCTGTGAAGAATAATTCTGTGGACTCAGGGTCAAATGGGGCCCCTTGAGGATTGGAAATAGAGGGTCATTTCGGTCACTATGATCACAGAAATGATCAGCCCATTGGACTATGCCAAATGTGCACAGGAGATGGGCCTCATCTTAATGTTTGCTGTTCCCTGTGAGCCTTGGCAGTGATCGTGGTATGGGCATGGCGCCAGGCAATAAATATCCAAGTGAAGAGACGGTATGAGTATTTGTGGCTCTGGGGGGCTTTGCCTCCCCTTTTCCCTCTGCCCTCTCACTAGAGACCTTGATAGCCCTGTCAGCTTTTCCTTTGGTGGCAGGGACGCCAGAAATTTTTGGATGATGTCACTGTAAGCCTTCTTTGCAGGGGGCCGCTTTCCTTTCCAGGGTGTTCCATGAGACCTCCCTGGAGTTAGTGTAGGCCTCCCCCCGAGTGCCATGTGCAGGGCCTTTGGGAAAAGCCCCGGGCCTCTGGAGTGGTATACGAGTCTTAGCATGTTGGTATGCAGGGCACTGAGCAATGCCCAGAAGCTTCTAGGGGTTTGCGTTGCTCAAGGAGCAGGTACGCCTCCTCAGGCTTCTTAGGAAGTGCGGGCACCAGCTTTTCAGGACATTTATACTTGTCCGTTAATTATTTAGCAATATCACAGCAGGAATAGGATCCATGTCAGGGGATGAAGAACAACAGCAGTGAGTGAGGTGGTGGCCCAGAGACTGTGGCCTTTGTCGTACTTTCCCTCTGGTGCCAGCTCTGGTTTCCAGTTGCAAGGCTATGTGACTCTTCTGGGTAAGGATGTGGAGTCCGGGCATGGCCCACTGACTGTGGTTGCCAGCATATGTCTTGCATCCTGCTCACCAGTGAGAATCTCTTCCCTGCTCTTTCAGCCCTAGCCTCCCCTGGGGCAAGGCCACTAGCCTTGAGATCCAACCCACCCTCCTTAGCTCTCCTTGGCCTTGAGATGTGGAGCATCCTCACACACATTAATAGTCAATTAAGGCTTTATAATTAGTGGTCTAATCATCTCGGTAGACCACATGGCCTTGATCACGCTGCTCTGGGGAGATCATTGGATAATTACGGCAGCTGTGCCCTTTTGGGGTTGATTCCGCAGGCAACACAGGACAGAGGCAATGTGCAAAAGCACAAAACAACATGAACAGCTGCCTGCGAGTGGTGCTAGTTTTCCAGACGGTGCTACCCACCTGAGTGAGTTAGGCTGTTAGGAAGCACGTTGCAGGTGAAGACATTCCCCTCAGTTAATTGCAAGGGCAATCACGCAATCCTACCAACTTCGTTGTGGCTGGACCAGCCCTTGTGGTTCTTATTATGATTGCAAGATGACCTTCAGCAATAACCATCAGGAACCTGTGGGGGAAAAAAAAGTTTATTACTTCAGGACAAGGAAATTATATAACACACCTGGGGCCACGCAGTGAGGTCTCTGGGGTGGGGGAGAGCCCGAGCTTGGAAGGGTAGGCTCACAGGCCCGGGGTTCTGCTTTTGTTGGGGTCCAGGGTGCAGGCCTAGGGTTTCACAAACTCACTTATTGCTGAATTTAAAACGTAAGACCAGGAATTTACAGCTGGGGGGCCAGGGGGATGGACAAGTGGCCCAAGTGGTCAGTTACTGAGATCAATCATTTTATTTAAGTTTATTTTTTTAGTAATCTCTCTACCCAACACGGGACTCAAACTCACCACCTGGAGATCAAGAGGTTCATGCTCTTCCAACAGAGCTAGCCAGGCGCCCCTAAAGTTATTGCTTTGATTTTTTGAATTTTTAAATTTTTAATTTTTTTTAAGATTTATTTGAGAGAGTGTGCGTGTGCGCACTTGAGCAGTGGGAGGGGCAGAGGGAAAGGAAGAGAAAGAATCCTCCAGCAGACTCCCCAGCTGAGCATGGACACTCATGCAGGGCTCAACCCCAGGACCCCGAAATCACAACCTGAACCGGAACCAAGAGCCAGATGCTTAACCTACTGAGCCACCCAGGTGCCCCAAATTACTGTTTTTAAAGCTGTAGAAACTCCCAAATCTTAGAGAACGTCCATTCCAAGAAGGAAGGAGTGGCGAGGGGACAGTACTGACCTGGGCCAGGGCGTGCTGCACAAGGCTGCCGCATGCGGCAGAGGAGGCAATGCCCTAAATGCTGCAGACAGGGACTGTCCCTGCGGCCTGTGGCAGGTCTTCCCTCATCGGGCTCCATTAAAATTAAAAACCTTTGTGCATGAAAGGATACTAGCAAAACAGGAGAAACAACCCACAACATGGGAGGAAATAATCACAGATCAGAAATCTGATACGGAATTAATACCCATAATATATAATGAATTTTTGTAACTAAATAGCAAAACAAAAACCAAAAAAACCAAACCAAAACAAAACCGAGAAAACCAACTTAAAAAAATGAAAGACTTGAATGGACATTTCTCCAAGGAAGATATTCAAATGAACAAAAAGCACCTGAAAAGAGGCTCTGAGTCCTCAGAGAAATGCAAATCAAAGCTACAATGACATTGCACTTCACACCCACTAGCATGGCTGGAATCAAAAAGACAGATTAACAAGTGTTGGCGAGGATGTGCAGCATTGGAACCCTCCCTTGTCCACTGCTAGTGGGGATGGGAAATGTTGCAGCCCCAGTGGAAAACAGTGTGGTAGTGCCTCAAAAAGCTTCAGTGGGTATTGCTGGGTCACCTAATCCTAGGTGCACATCTGAGAAATAAAAACATATGTGCACACAAAAAGTTGTATACCAACATTCATAGCAGCATTATTCACATAGACAAAGGTGGAAACCCAAATGTCCATCAGTGAATGAATGGATGAATACAGTGTGGTCTACCCACTCAATGGAATACGTTCGGCCATGAAAAAGAATGAGATTCAGCCACCTGCTACCACGTGGATAAACCTTGAAAACATGGTGCTAAGTGCAATAAGCCAGACACAAAAGGAGAAATATTGTGTGATTCCATGCATGGGGTACCTAGAACAGGCATATTTATAGGGACAGAAAATAGAATAGAGGTTACTGGGGCTGGGGGAAGGAGGAAGAAAGGAGTTATTGTTAACAGGGACAGCGTTTCAGTTCAGATGATGAAAAAGTTCTAGAAACGGATGGTGGTGATGGCTGCAAAACACTGTGAATAGACTTAAAGCTACTGAACTGGACACTAATGGTTAAAATTGTATATTTTATGTTATGTACATTTTACCACTACACTAAAATACCGTTTCTCACATCAGCTTAGCAGAAATTGGAAAGTACAGCAACCCATTTTGTTGGCGAGGCTGTGGGAGAGCAGGCCTTCTCATATTTTGCTTCTGGGAGGAATCTACGTGTCTTTACCTTTTTTTTTTTTAAAGATATATTTATTTATTTTACCACACAGGTCCACTCACCCACCATTCCTCACACTGGCCGAGTGAGAGAGGGAGGGAGAGAGAGAGAGAGAGACTGCGTGTGTGGGCAGGAGGTGGGCAGAGGAACAGGGAGAGAAGCGGACTCTCTGCTGGTGTGTGTTGAGGGGAGCCTGCCCTGGGGCATGACCCTGAGATCAGGAACTGAGCCAAAATCAAGAGTGGCATGCCCAACCCACTGAGCCACCCAGGCGCCCCACTTGTCTTTACCATTTGCCTTAGCAATCGTAATTCTAGTTTACCTTAAAGGTACACCCTCAACAATATGAAAATGCCTTTGACCTGGTTACTCTTGGCAGCCTGGTTGGTGATTATAAAATATTGGAAACAATTTCGATGTTCATACATAGAAGAGTGGTTGAATGAAGTGTCCATCCACATATCTCTGTGCACTGATGTGGAATGATTTCCAGGCTCTGTTGCTAAGTGTAAAAGGGGAAGTGTGAAGGAGTATATATAACGAGCTACCTTTGTGTACAAAAGAAGGGGATTAAGAAAATAAACATTTGCCTCCTCACTTGAGTATAGAGAAACCTAGGAAAGAAAACCCAGAGAGGACTGAGATTGATTTTAGAAGGTAGTTGGCAGGAATTGAACGGAGAGAGGGAATGAGGGAGAAGCCATTTCTCTGAATAGACCTTTTTGTGCAGACCTGACTTTTGGAACTATGTTATCGTTTTACATATTTGAAAAGATAAAATAAAATCTTCCAAGGATGGGAGAAAAAAATCCCCAAATTTAATACAAACAGAAACAAATGAACCAAAGCATTCTTTCAAAAGAATAACATAAACACACTCAAAGGTGAGAAAAAATAAAAGCAGTAACTCAAGTTAGTATTTAGAGCATATACCCCCAGCCTAAAGACAAAAAGAACTCTAAACAAATATTTAATTCCAATTGGAATTGGTAGGCCTCACCCTACCCCCCCCCCCAAATACAGATGAAAAATTCTGAAGCTACTTTTTGGAATTCTAGCAAACTGAGCACATAAATAAAAGAAACCAAGTACCCCCGGGGTTGGAAAACGGAGTTACAAATACTGAGTGGGAGAAGAAAGAATGAACCCTGCAGGATTAGCTTGGAATTAAAAAACTCTTGGATGTACACATCCCGTCCATTTCCCAGCTCTGTTCTCCAAGAAGTAATGATGCCACAGTAACTCTAATTGTATAGCAGAGAAACCACACTGACCACCCTTCATAAACACACAAACTCTGGAAAGTATGTACCTCTTCGTGTTATGCAGGGAACACAGAATCACTTCCGTGGTCTCTCCTGCCCAAAGTGTGGAACCTGAGTCTAAACAGGATGAAACATCAGACAGACCCAACTTGAGCGACATTCTACAAAATAAATGGCCTGTATTCTCCAAAAATGGCAATGCCATGAATTGCAAAGAATTATGAACTGTTCCAGATTAAAGACGTCCAAAAAAGACATGACAAGTGAATGCAATGGATGCACGATTTTGAATTTTTTACTATGAAGGATTTATTGGAGCAACTGACACTTCAATAAGGCCTGCAGATTGTTGTGTTCAGTCTTATTTTCCTGATACTGAAAACTGGACTGTGGATATGCAAGGGAATTCGCTGTTCTCCCCATAAAAAGGGGTGAACATTCATCCATGAGATTGTCACGAGCATCAAATCAAATGTGCTGATTCACATACTGAATTCAGCACAAAACACTGGGTAAATACAGGGAAGGATCATCATTGGTGATAGGATCTCACAGGACAAGGTGGGTTTTAAGAAACGACCAGCTCGGGTGCAGAACGACTAGGCTTCAACAGGGTCCCCTGGGTCACTCGGAGGGGTTCCGCTCACGGAAGCGGGATCCACAGGTGCCCAGGTTCCAGGAGGCAGGGTTCCAACAAGGCCCCGGGCGCGGCCAGCGGGTCAGTGCTCCCACAAGAACCAGCGGGCGTTCCAGTTCCAGCTCCCGAGAGCCGGCAGATTAAAAAAGAAATTTGGTAATAGCCAATACAGAGCCCCAAACTCAAAGGACGGCCGCTGGATTCTGGGACTTTCGCCCACTGGGTCCCGGTGGAAGGTGCCAGAACCCCGAGATGACTGGCACCGCCAAGGGCGAGCCCAAGGTCGGCTGGCCGGCGGCAGGCTCTGAGCCCAGCTGCTTTCAGCTCTGTTTTGAGACATCACAGCTAGTTCTCCGGCTTAAAAGTCATTAAAATGGTCATGGGAGACATTCTGCATGGGGTGAAAAATTAAGGGTGGTTGTGACGTTTCTGCCCTGCCACGTTGAGCCCGTCCCGGGTTCTGCAGGAGAACATGGCGTCGCCGCCCGGCCGCCTTACCCACACAACTTGTACAAAAATCATCCCCAAGGGCAGCCAGCCCGGTTCAGCACCGTTTGCAGCGTGGAAGCTGCCAAACACATCTGCCAGCTAGTGTGGCCTTTGCCTCAGGCCCTGGGCCTGAACCTGGGCTCTTAAGTTAGGGGCGTGCCTGCCGCTTGGGGTCTGCGGGGGCTTCTCCCGGGTGCGGAAGGCCGGGTGCGACGCGGTGACAGGCACACCCCGAGGGGGCCCATGATCACAGAAAAGCAGCTCTGTCGCTGGACTCGGACCATCAATTCCAAACATGGGGAGACAAAATGGCGGCCGTGTCCCCGGCAGAAGCCACATACGGGTTCCGCGGCACGCAGGACCTACAACTCCCAGAGTGCTCTGGGTCGAAAGTGGGAGGGCGGGGAGCGCGCTAGCGTCCCTCGATGTGGCGCTGGGCCCTGTGCCCCGCCCCCTCCCAGCGGAAACCCTGTGGAATACGTGGCTCGCTCCGGCCCGCTCACCCGCCCTTCTTCGCACTGGCCGAAGGGATTCGTAGTTGATTGGCAGCGGTGTTGACCCTCCTTCGGGTCTTAAGAAACTACAGTTCCCGATGTAGCTTCTGCGCCTGCGCACAACGCCGCAGGGCGTACTACGGTTCCCGGCGGGCCCTGCGACGCGCGCGAGTGCGTGCTGACGCACTTAGTTGGTCGTGCTGACGTGCAGCGCGGCCCAGGCGGGGTGCGAGTGGCGCAGTCGGAGCCCGCTGCGGCCCCTGAGGAAGCGAGGAGGCGTCGGTGTCGGCTGAGGCGGGCGGACCGGCAAAGCAAGGCGGCAGCTCCAGGCCCCGAGGGACTCGGGAGCTTGAGCAGCAGCAGCGGCAGCACCTCTCCCCCTCGGAGGCGGCGGGCGGAGGAGGCGGCGGCGGCGGGTGAGAGGGTGAGGGAGCGCGCGAGCCGGGTGGGGGAGGGGCGGCGGCCCCCGGCGCGAGGCCAAAGCGCGCGGAGAACGGTCCAGGCCGCCGCGCGCACGCGCGCTCGCCGCCCCTAGCTCACGCGGACGCCCTCGCTCGCCTGCCTCCCCCCTCCCCCTTTGCCTTCCTTCGGTTCCTGTCGCGCGCGGGCTTTTACTGCCCTCCCCCTCCCCCATGGCAACGGCTCGCGCCGCCGACTGCTCTCGGGCTCGCGCGCGCTCGCGACGAGGGGGGGGGGAGCGCTCGCCTCGGCTTCTCGCCTCCCCCACGCGTGCGGCCGAGGAGGCCCTCCCGCGGCTGCCCCTTCCGACATTTTCTCGGCGGGGAGGTGGCGGCGGGGGCCTGTTCCCGGATCTCTTTCTCCGAGCCTCTCCGGCCTTCGGCTTCCCCGTCCCTCCCGCGGGCCTGCCGTCCGGCGCGGAGCCTCCCAGACTCCTGGGCGCCACGCAGCCCCCTCCCCCATGCCTCAAGGCCGAAAATAGGCCTTGGCGGCCCCGCCGCTGCAGGGAGCCCTGGAACTAGGTGCCGCGCATATTTTGGCCTTTCAGGCTTGTTACTTTCGGTCTCGAAGCGGCGGGGAGAGGAGAGCTCCAAACCTTGGTTTTCTTTTTTCTTTCTTCCTTTTTTCTTTTTGAAAGACGTGTTCAGCTCAGGTACGTAAAGGCAGACTGTGTACTTTCCTTAAGTGTTTTTTTGGTTTTCCACTTTTTCGTCGTCGTCTCAAAAGTTATGTTAAAGCTGGGGAGGCCGTTGGAGCCCTTCCTTGGGAAGAAAACGCTGGGCGCCGACTCAGGCATTATTTGTCACCCAACCCTTACGAACCTTCGTTTCCACTCCCGCTTATTTAAGATGTCGTCTGGACCAAAAATTCAAAAAGAGCGTCTTGTCTTTTTAAGTGTGTGGGTTTAGGTTTTGTTTTAGAACTACTAAAAATTCTGGGGGCTCCATAGTGTCCGCCCAGCTACCGAAATGCCCCCTTACTGCGCTTACCTACGTCCATTTTCCTGCACACCCACCTCGTTTTTGGTGCGTTCCTTTTCTTGAGTATCTCAGTGTTGAATTTCCAGATTGCCTTATATTTTTTTGTTAGTTTGGCGTCGTGATTAAATTTCCCAACAAAAGAAATTCTGTTGTCTTGCTTTGCAGCTTATTTTTATTCTTTGATTTTAGCTTGGGTAGCTTGAGTGCTCAGTCTGTGGGCCCAAGTCAAGAATGCCTGTTTAAGTTACCTGGTTTTGATGATTTTTCTGTGTGTTGGTGTTCCTCTTTGGTCTTTCCTTTTAGTTGTTTTGAGGGCTGTTTTGCGGGGGGGGGGGGACTTGTTTCTTAAAAGTTCTACAATTCGTTGTTTTAAAAACCCTTTCCTTAGCTATTGGTTTTCCTTCCTAAGGGAGTGGGAGGATTTTTGTGTGAGGTGGTATGGAAGTGTGGGTGAATGGTTAAGCTAAAGAATTAATTGTATGTCAGAAGCATTCTGTAAGGGAGGCAGAAATTAGGTGGGGTTTAGAGAGGCAAAGAAGGGCCTAGGTTTAGAGTGGGGAGGGTTGGTATTTGAGAAAACAAAAGTGAAGGTTGGAAGATAAAGAAACTGATTTCTTGTGCTGTAAAGAGATTTTTCTTTTTTTTGAGTGTGCATTTCTACTTTTCCTAGATTAGCCTTATTTGTTATTCCTTTACCTTAGTGTTGTTTTCTTTTTGTTTTCAGCCCTCTTGAGTGCTACTGGGATTGGGCAAGGATCCAGCCTTTAGAGTTTGGGGATAGAGGTACAAGCAGTTCTGGAATTGGGCAATTTTCCTTCCATTCACTGTCTCCCCATACTTACATTTTTGTTGTTGTTTTAGTACATTCTTCCAGGTATTTGTGTGCTGTTTTTTTATTCCTGGAATTTTAAAAACGTGGCATTTCTTTTTATTCAATTTTATCTATTAATCTCTCCATTTGTTCCTTGATCTTTGTCTTGGGGTAGTTTTCCCTCATTTATGCTTTCTGAAGCTGTCTTTGACAGGATGAGATGGGGAAAGAAATAAAGTGCGTATAGTAGGGAAAAGGAATAGAGTGTGCATAGCTAAGAAATCTAACCAGAAGAATGGGAGCTTGAGGGCTCTTCAGAGCCATGCTGGGGTTGGGACAGGTTGAGAAGATAGAACTTGGTAGAATGCATGAAGATAAAATGAGAGGGATAAGGAGGCCTGGAAGAGAAACTCTAGGAAGTGAGATACAGGGGATTGATAGGGAAAGCTGACTGATGTTAGTGGAGGGGGCTTCTGATTAAGTTTAGGGCAAGAAATGCAGAGGGTATGGGAACAGTTGGAGCAGAGGAGGCTGATTTGATGTATTCAGAGCATTGAGTTGAAAACAGGTGATGTTAAAGAGGAACTAATGAGACTCGGGTGAGCTGCAAATCATGTAAGAAATCCAAAGGGAAGGAATTTAAAGGAATAAGATACCAGGTGAGGTAGTTGATAGGAACTTATTGATAATTGGAATCAAGGAAATGGCCTCTTACCTCTGGGAGGAAAAATACAAGAGGATCTTACGTCCAAGATTCTGTGTTTCTGATATGCTTACTGCCCTTTATTCTTGAATGTGAGGGTGTACAGGACACTTGGCTTACGTCAGGAACCAATCAGTCCACTTGTTCAAATACGTAGGGGTCGTTTAGTCTGTTTTGTTTTCATAACAGTGTAGTCTGAAATTCTCAGGTCAGTTCTTAGAAGAATCTTTGAACTTGTATTGTGGGCCTTAGTTGCCACAGATCTGTGGTGGTGGTTGTGTGCTGTTTGGAGGCCTGAGTAGGTTACCAGATGTTAGGGATTAGATTAGTTGGTGGTGGAGACAACACTTGTGCTTATTGGGGCCAAGGGAGAATAAAGAGGCAGTGTGGAGAAATTTGAGAGAGACGGGTTTCTTGTTTTCTTAGGGTGGAGAAGAACGTCTAGGTGCAAACAGAAATGGAAATAGCTCTTGCCTTTTGGGGGGAAAGGCTGTAAGAGCTGGGCTGTGATTTTAATGGAAAGTGTGGGAAGGGTAAGGAAGGGTTTTTGTTAGGAGACCAGGAGGATTATGCAGCTAAAAGAGGTTTAGTGTGGAGATTCGTGTTGAAATAGATGAAGCAGAACAAGGATTTGGGTGGTGGTAAGTGGTTAGTTTGGGGTCAGGGGCCTGACCCGTGTTTCCCCGCTCCCCCTCAGGAGCGGTGGTGCCCCCCCGGGCACGGGGCCATGTACAACGGGATCGGGCTGCCGACGCCCCGGGGCAGCGGCACCAACGGCTACGTCCAGCGCAACCTGTCCCTGGTGCGGGGCCGCCGGGGTGAGCGGCCTGACTACAAGGGAGAGGAGGAACTGCGGCGCCTGGAGGCTGCCCTGGTGAAGCGGCCTAATCCTGACATCCTGGACCACGAGCGCAAGCGGCGCGTGGAGCTGCGATGCCTCGAGCTGGAGGAGATGATGGAAGAGCAGGGGTGAGGGGAGGGCTTGGGGAGAGCCAAGCACTGAGTGAGTTGCAGAGCTGGGGGAATTAGGTGGGATGTAGGGAGCTTAGGGTTGGCTGAAGAGGCCTGGAGAGGAGTTGTAGGAGGGGAGGAGATAAAGGAGCTAGAAAATGGAAAGGAGTTAAGGGACAGCTCAAGGTGGGAGATGAGGAAACTGTGTTTGCGACAAGAGGAATCCTTAAGGAGTCTGAATTATTTAGGTGGAGGCACGTGGGGAAAGAGAGGAACCATACAGAAACAAATGTGCTTTAAGGGGAGGTGGGAAAGCAGGTACCAGGGAAGAGAAGATCTAAGGTATAAGCTGACAGGTGTTGTTATTGGTAGAGAAGAGGAAGTAAATGGATTGAAGGATTAAGGCCTTGGAAAGTACACGAAGGCAGGAAAACAGGAATTGGAATAATACCTGCATAAGGGGGGATCATGAGTTGGGTAGGGAAGTGAAATTTTGGAAAAGGGGCACAATCAAGCAGAAGACCTTTTAGAGCAGTGGTTTTCAAACTTCAGCAGTGGCACCTTTTTTATACAATGTACTTTTGGAATCTCAGGAAATACCTGTTGTTGAAGTTGGGGAGGAGCAACTGGAACTCTGCTTAACTTTCCTTTTTTGGCCCCTGGAGTGTAGCATGTTTAAAATCCACTGTTCTAGAGGCTATAGTAAGCGGAGAGAAGAAAGATAACAGGAAGAGATCAGAAAGATTTAAGAGAAAGGCCCTTTGGGTGACAGTGAATTGAAAAGTTTTATGTGTGCATGGGAAGGGATTCTCCTGGGAATGAGGAAACTAAACCTGGGACTGGGGAAAGTGCCTAGTCAAACTTTAACCCTGAAGGGATTTGTTCTTTAGGTACGAGGAACAGCAAATTCAGGAAAAGGTGGCTACCTTTCGACTCATGTTGCTGGAAAAGGATGTGAACCCTGGGGGCAAGGAAGAGACCCCAGGACAGAGGCCAGCGTGAGTGTTTTCACTGTCACTTATTTTCTCTGGATGTTAAATAGCTGCTTCTGTTATTCTCTCTTCTTGTACATTCTCCCTGCTCTCATTTTCTTTTCCCTGGCCCATTTGGCTGCCTACAGATGTGTGAATATGACTCTGTTCTTTGCTCAAACTCCTTCTGACCTTTGTCTTTTTTTTTTACCCCCTAGGGTAACTGAGACTCACCAGTTGGCAGAACTGAATGAGAAGAAAAATGAG